TGTATTTATTAATTACAAATTTTAAAACATATATAAGGGCCCATTCATATAAAATATATAAATAACATGGCAATACACACGGGCTTAAAAACCTGACCTGACGCATTTCGGCCTGCATAGGCCTTCCTCAGAGGTCAAACAATTGAGTGGCAAGATGGCTATATAAATCTTTGAAATAACATTTTTTTATTTTGTAATATAACAGTGAACATACAGAACATTTAACATTAAAAAAACCCATAGTATGAGAAATAACTATAAAATGTCACAAAGAAAATACTTTTTTGGTTACATACGATGAAATACTTCATAGTACTTTGGAGGAACAGTAAAATTAGAAGTCTCAGTATTGAACACAAACTCGAGAAAAGGAAACGATTTCATATGGAGATTCGATTTCTTATGATGGACATTAACTGGGGCTATAACATCTGAGATTTTATCCATGATATAGTAGTCCCATATTTTTAAACGCCATGAGGACAACAGCAGTTTGTTAGGGGACTTCCAACAGCTGGCTATAACCACTTTAGCTGCTGTTAGCAGGACTGATATGAGTTCCTGGCGGAGTTTAGGGATATGGAGATCAAAGATCTAACAATATAAGCTCAGGCTGCAAAGGTATCAAATAACCCATAATATTTTAATACAATCATGTAGACACAATCAGAACGGATACAAAATATAAATTCAATATGGACCAGAAAACCAGTTGTTCCCGAATAAAACCACCAGGCACACAATAAATATGCCAATGAGATCTTTAAAAGTGCCATTCCTTGCCCAGTGCTTCTAAAGTATAGACTTTTGGTCCAAGAATTGCCTTCCTTGATTGTGTTGCCACAGTGTTCTTCAACTAAAAATGCTGGAGCTTTATAACTGGTTAAGGATGAGCTATTTACTAACCTTTGTGTAGGTTCTGAATTTTAGTGTTAAGGTTCGGTTTTTTGCCCTTTCTGTCCCTGCTCCGGCCGTGAAAGCCTTCGACAACATATTAATTAAATCAATTTTTGTTTAAACTTATCCCAGAAATCAGTACAGTCCTTCCTCAGGGCCACATAATCCCCTGAAGCGCCCAGACCCCGGGTCATTCTACCACAATAGAGTGATTTGGAATTTTTAATTCCTGGTGGCAGCAGAAATCTACCAAGTTCATGTACACAGAGTATGTTTTAAAGGAGAAACAGTCTCCCCAATTAGTGAGGACGCCACACATCTTCCCTTTAATCTAATCACCACCAGGGAAGCCTGGGTGTGTGCGTCCGGGAGGCAGTTGTTCCGTTGCAAGCTTGCATTTCGTTTGTGTCTGGGCTTTATATCCCACCACGCGCCTTTGAGTTTCCCAAATCTCCTAATAGGCTTTCAAAGAGCATCTTTTCTCAACAGTTAGACCGAGCCCTATCTAGCTCGTTTTGCGCCCAGGGCAAGAACACAAAATGGCACCCTCTATACGTCCCTGGTAATTTTGGTAAAAAGGAAAATACATAAGTAACAAGGGTAATAATAATAATAATGTTTATTTCTGTTATGATTTGCTCACAAGACTCCACAGCTTAGAGGGAGCATTGCTCCTAAACCCTTTGCAATCCGCCATTTTGGATGCTGGGCGAGCATCTCAAGAGGCATGTTTGTGTGTGATTCTTGCGTCCCGCCGTCTCTCTGGCTGCCTGCATGGCTACAGCTCGCTTATTAAGCAGGCGAGAGTCACCCACTGTTCGGGGCCTGGAAGTCAGCCACCGTTTGATGTGAGCCCCGCTTAACCTGCCGAAGGGTCACTTGGCCTCACGCCTGGCCCCGACATAATTCCCAACGCTGGCCTAATCAGCTGGGCCAGTTTCACATCGGCGATGTGCGTTGTGTTCTGTCCGCAGACTCAGCGTAAAGTGGAGCCGCGTGCTGGCCAAAAAAGAGTAAGGAAGAGAGGTTCAGTGGGGGTTCTGTCCCTGCCTCCAAGTTTCCATTGTTCTTGTTAACTAAGAAGTCAGTGGGCAGGTTTCTCTCTTGCTGGCTCACCCCCTGAGAGTCTGTGTGGCGGCAGCTCTCCCTCAAACTTTCCAAGGAGTCAGGGTGATAGGGATTGAGTGCAACGCTCCCTCTAAGTAGGGATGTGCATTCGGTTCGTCCGAACCGAATGCACCCCCGAAAATGGCCCATTCGAACCCCTTTCGGGCTGCTGCAGGCCCATACAGATTCTCTGATCTGAATCGAATTGCCACCGAATTGCCGCCGAATTTCGGCAGCAATTCGACCCCATTATATCCTATGGGCCATTGAAGTCAATGGGGAAAATATAGGGTATATTCTGGGGGCTGGAGGGGAGGGGATTTGAGGGAGAGGCTCCAGACTCGCAGAGTAGCTGCTGGAGCCTCTCCCCAAAATACCAACCAAGTTTGAAGAATATTGGACCAGGGAGTCCAATTCTACAGGCCCGCAAACAGGTTGCCCCTATTCCCTCCATTGTTCTCTATTGTGGGAAAAAAGTAATAGGATGAAATGGGGCTGGGAAAGACTCGAATGGCTGGTACTGACGAAACTGACATGCGGAAGTCTTACTGCCAGCCGAAATTGATTCTGCCCGATTCCGCCGAATCCGAAAGGGCCGCATTTTTTTTTTTTGCACACCCCTACCTCTAAGTTCTCCTGCCAACCTAGCTGTTCGAAAGCAAGAAATTGCAAGTAGATAAATAGGGACCACTTCGGTGGGAAGGTAACAGCGTTCCGTGCTCCTTGGTGTTTAGTCATGCCAGCCACATGACCACGGAAATGTCTTCGGACAGCGCTGGCTCTTCGGCTTTGAAACGGAGATCAGCACCACAACCCTAGAGTTGGATTCGACTGGCTTTCGAGCAAGGGAACCTTTACCTTACCTCTAAGTTGTGGAGTCTTGTGAGCAAAAATTCTCCTCGGTGAGCGACTGGCATTAAAGTTGTGAGCGAGCGAGTTGGCTGCTGCATAAGTCAGTTTGCTCTGGAGCCCTCCTTCCTGAGCGAAGACAGAAGTGCATCCCATTCCCTACCTAGAAGGAAACTAAAATTGCCTACACCAGTAGTCTTTAAGGTGCCACAAGAGTTCTCTTTATTTCTACTACATCAGTATGAGAGCTTCTGCTCTTGGTCTACCCTGTGTCAGTATTTGAAAGGTCCCCTCAGGCTAAAAAACATCAGGGGCCTCGAACCTAGAATTTCAGATAGCAGTGTTGCAAAAAATAAGCACAGTCTGTCATTTGGACTCTGTTACCTTTTGAGGAGAAGAAGAAGAGATTGGATTTATAACGCGTCCTTCACTAC